GCCTCGCCGCCGAGGGGCTCGTCCCCGTGTCCCCCCGCCCTCGCCCGCCAGCCACTCCCGCCGCCGGGTTAATGGGGAGGGGGGAGGCAGGGCGGCCGGCCGAGGGCGCAGGGGTAGGGGGAAAGGGGCCGGTGGGGAGCAGCCCCCCCACCCCGGCTGCGAGAGCCGTCCCCGCCGCCTCGGGTCGGGTGGCCGAAACTTGAGGTCTGCCAGCCAAAACCGTGACAGGAACAGGGAAGCAAGAGCTTATTCCCCCTCGGCTCTCTCTCCCTATCCTTGGGAAACCTGGGTGGGAAATCTACAGTGTTTTCAGAAGTCTTCTCGCGGTCCAAGAGGATGAGGAGGATGGAAGTGGTGTTTACGCCTTGGCACGCTTACGTCTTTACTGAGAAACTTGTGTAACATGGAATTACAGCACTCACCTGAAAGTTGCCATTCCATTGGTCCTTTTAACTTGCTGCGCGGCGTTTCGGTATCTGAGGAAAAATACCAATTTTTTTTTGTGGTTGCCTGGGGTAATTACTGCTAACTCGCGCTCGCGGCGACCTGAATATCGGCGTAGCGATCAGGAAAAGCCACTCACTCGGCCGAGACGTCAGGGCAACGCCTTGCCGAGGGCTACTCGCCCGCCCGAGCCCTCGGCCCCGACACAGGCTTCGCGCGGCCGAAACCCGAGTCCCCGTCGGGGGAAAGGGGCGGCCGGACGCCCCCTCGGGTAACGGCCCCCGCCGGCCTCGGGGCCGCCATCCTCCGGGGTGGCCTCACCTCGCCCGTTTCGCTACCAAACCCCCGCGTCGCTGGCTGAATAAATCATAGCGGGCGCTTTTTATGAACAGCTGCGGATTTGAAAGACGTTATCTGCGGGCGGGTTTGGCCGAGGCGATGGCGATAAGGAGCACCGCCGCCGTCGGGCTGCTGAGCGACCCGCTGCTGCCACCTTTCGCTCGGCGCTTCCGCGGCTCTCCCCGGCACTCCCGTCAGCGGGCACCTCACCTCGCTCAGGGTTCGCTGGGGTTGGGGTGGTTACCCCTCCTTTCGCTTCACGAGAAGGCCAGAGACTACGTCTCTACGTCTACAACTCCTCTTTACTTTTGCTGTCTGCCTGGGTATGGATTAAATGCAGGATTTTGTGTGCACTGTCCTGAGGCTGACTGTCTATCAGCGTTCTCTGGCCTCACAATAAGCACACTTGTCATCTACTCAGGGATGCACGTAGGAACAGAAGAGAAAATTATTATTCAGAGGAGCCTACTTAAGCCATTCAAGAAGCCATAATAGGAAATAGTTAAACAAATCCATAGGAATTAAGAGTTTGTCCATCTGAATCTTTGCCTCATCTAATGACAGAAGAAAATTTGATTCCCCTGTCTTTGTCCAAACTTGTAACCGCAGTATCAGGCCTGGCCAGGCCATCAGAAGCTGGAAAAGTCAGCACCCAGAGGTATAAAAGCTGCCCGCGTAGTAGCCTAGCCCACTGTTGGGTGATTAGGGCACTATCCAGGGATGCAGGCTGGTATTCTGATCTGAAACTCCTCATCAGACATGGAACTCTGGTCTCTCGTTTCTTGGCAAATGTTCTAACTTCCAAAGTAGTGCAGAGTAAGGAGAGACCCACCAGCAGCTACCCTTTCACAGGGAGAGAGAAAAGCGAAAAGTAGCTCATCATCTGCGTCTGGAGGAAGGACATAATGTCCGTCAAGTGCAAGACATTGGATTTGTGATTCCCAGCTCGAGATAGACATCTAATTCTGGGCTGTAACTAGTGTATTGCCCAGTAGATTCCAAGAGTCACTGTCTTACTCTTAAACCTCAAGATGTACTGGAAAATAAAATTACTGGATGTCATAGCATCCTAGATCCACCATAGCATCATGTGATCCACCTTCTGCAGCCCAACCTCTTCTCTTCAGAGGTGAAAGGTCTTTCTGTCAATAAAAGGAGAGGAGACAGAGGGGCTAGAAACAGGCTGTGTCCTCCTTTCAATCCCCCTGAAATATAACTATGTAATAGGGGCATTTTGTGGCCCTGGAAATTGTACACATCTGGCCTAATTGTAGGACAAGCAGAGTGTGCTAATGAAGGATGCACCTAAGGCACCTGATTCTCCCACACTGTAAAGGTTACCCAGCTACCTATACCAATGAATAAATGCTAGTTGGGAAGCTGTTGGCCTGGAAGTTAAATATAGTAGTAATAAAGGTATATAGTGATGAAGACCCTCTGTAGGGGTAGGGAGGGCTGGAGGCAGAAGGGTTTTGGAGGAATCTGGGAGGTGTCAGAAGATGTCTGCTTTTCTGTCACAAGATTTCCTCCTTTCCCATCACTAGCTTGCATGACAGGCATTCATCTTAAGACATCACAGGATTCACAGATTCACCCTAATCCTTGGTCAATTTCCTTGAGGGTTTATTTTTTGTTTTGTTGATGTTTATTTTTTCTGGAAAAAGATGAAAAAAGGAAAGGAAATTATTATAATAGAAGGCAAATATTTTCAATCACAGGAGCTGTAAAAACATCTTTGCCATTTATATTTGGCTGTAAGAATTACAAAGGTTATTGAGCCTTAAGTTTCTATTTGGTCAAAATAATGACAAGTCAAAATTTTAGAAAATGAAAAACGTAGTAGTATGATTAGATTTAAATCCAGTAATAGAATTTTCAGATAATTTGTCTTCTAAATGACTGTATTATAAAGAAGAATAATAACAACAAATTGTTTAAGCACAGGCTCAGGAGCTGCATGTTACTATAGCTGGTTGCCAGTGATTCTTTTCCCATCCTGTTAACTAGAAATACAACTTTTTCTTTGTAGAAAGTTTTATCTTCAGGTAAAAGATGAAGCCGGCAGTGAAGGAACACAACAAAAAGTCCATTGGTCAGCAGTTAGACAAATCATCTAAAATATGGGATACCTAGACACAAGCACTAGTTGTGTCTGCATGCTCTGAATCAGCATAAACCATGTTTAGTCTTGGTTTAATCCTGCTTGGAACAGAGTCTAGGGGTTGTATTCTCATTTTTTTGACAGAAGGGAGAGGATTTCTTGGCTGGTTTGATTTGTTTACTTTTAGATCGTGTTTAAAGTTAAATATTTACTTCATATGAAGATTACTGAGATCCTCTGTCATGGTCAGGGTCCAACACCCTCCTTTGTCACACTGAAGTCGATGGGAACTGTCCATTCTAAGAATGTAACTGAAATAAAGCCAGGTCTGTGAAACAGATGAATGTTTCAGGCAATCTTTAGCAAGTCTGGAATAAAATTAGGAAAACATGGGTTTTGCCCTTTTTAATAAACTGAAAAGTCAGCTAAGCATAATTAGTTTTTCAAGTTTAGAGCGATACTTTAAAGAAGTTATTGCAATTACTGTCTTATCACTTGCTAAAAATTATTTAAAGGTGGAATTATGAAAAGAAGTTGACAACATCCATTGAAAATTATTTCAGATAAGAAAGAACATGGTTCTTGAGACACACAGTGTGGTGTCTTAATGAAAGCAAAGAGGGAATAAATGTAAATAACTGATTCACATTTCTCTCTTATATGACTATGATTTTATCTTTAATAAGGAAGTCAACATTGAATTATAGCAATATTATTTGTATTTTCCATTTTTCCTAAATTGTTACATAATATTATATACAATGTTGCTTACCTAACAGCAGAGTACATGTAAATCCTGGGATGAGGATGGTTTCCTTTGTCACAAAGATAAAAAGGCAGAAGAAGGTTTGCACTGTTGCATTTGCAACAACATGTGTCCTGATCTCATGGAAATACGACTTTTTTTTTTTTGCAGTAGTTTCTTAAATAAATATAAAGTATTTTCTATTCCGAGCCACAGCTGGTTTTGACTCAGTCTGATTATGAACAAATTACTGGTGAAGTGCTAAACTTGACTGGCAATAGGAGGATACAACTGAATTTGTAGTACCTGTAGATTCCGTAAATGAATCTATATTTGCATTGGAAGAGTTGGATTGTAGCTACTGAAGGCAACTCTCAGTTCCCTCTGGACTAGGATTTTCTTCTTTCCAGCTTCATCCATTGATAATCAGATAAGGAGTTATGACCAAAATCTATCTAAAACAGCTCAGTTAAAATCTTTTTTGGATCTGCTTGAAAAGATAATTTTAAGAATTATTATTTAGCTAATAGCTGTCATTAATTTCATAAGCAATTTGGTATTTTCAACATTTCAGATTTTCATGTAAAATTATACAAAAAGGTAAAAACTCTGTTGAATTCAATTGTCTGACTTAGTCACAATCAATCAGCACTCTTACTCAAGGTATAGTAAGGGGACTGCATTATTGAATAATAAAACTTTATCTAAGTCTTCCTGATCAGTGAGCAAGTTGGAATTCTACTCAAATCCAAGGAAAAACATAATGAAAATACTAAGTGGGTGAGAGAGAATGTGTCTGATTAATTCTATCAATTGAACACGTGTTTGGTTTCTTTATGTAGGGTTTGGGTTTTTTTTAAAAACTTTTTGGTATATTGTTATTCAGTAGATGGAAGGCCAGAAGTTGAAACAAAATTTAGTGTAGTGTAAAACTTGTTCTTTCCAGTATCTAGTAAAAAGAAATGTTGCTGTTATGGATTCATATACATGCACAACCTGAATGTTCTGAAACATTTTCTAAACCCTAATCCCATGAAAGAAAGTAATCACAATCTATCTTCATGCGACCCAGTGTTACGAGAGCTATGATGTCAAGTCAGCTGCAAACTACAATCTAGTTTTAATAGTTCAAAACACGTTTATCCCTATTAGTGTCAATTGAAATGTCAAACCATTCTCAGACTATATCCCTTAATACATTTAGAGCTGCAAAAGCATTTAGGATTAAGGTATAACACAAAACTGTATTGTACATTTAGGGTTCTTTCTCCTTTCCACTGTACTTGCGTATTGTATAGTCCATCTTAATGATGAAAACCATCCTGCAAAAGGCCAAGCAGAAACCTCGCCAGAGATTCAGAAAATGATACTGTTTGAATAACAGTTAGCGAAACCTTGTTATACTGATTATCCTTTTATTTAATCAAATTATGTGGGAGTTTTACTTCATATTTTTCCACAGTGTGAAAGACAGTCAGAGTTCAAGGAACCAGTAGATTGAGCATCTAGTTAGACCTCATATTGCATAAAACTGAGATATTACCTATCTTGAAAGCGAAATCAATGACTTGCCATATCTTGCAATTATGGAGTGCTGGCTCATTTTCTAATCTATTCTCTATTACATTCAGTCAGTATCAGGAAAGATGAAGCTAAATTCACTTGGCTGTTAACTCCCTGAACGTCATGCTCCAAAAGTCACATGCTTCTGCTTTTTCCAGCTAGCATGGCTTTAAGTTCCTGGAGACTGTTGATCTATTTTCCCAGTGCTCAGGAAACTAGTGTCATCCAACACTGATTCAAATCCTTTTTCTCAGTTTCC